CTTTAGTCCTAATTTTATCACTATAGCCAAAGGATAATTAGAGTTACGTAATTTTAATCTTATCTCCGGCAGTTTTCAGGCTATTGACTTCATGGAACTGACAATAGATAGATAGATAGGTTTTTAGGGAGACAGTGAAAGCGAACAGTTCAAGGAGGGCGTGGAAGAATTGAGAAGAAGACTTGAGGTTAATAGTGTTGTTTTAAACAGGATAAAGAAGGGAGAGCGCCATACACTGTTTCACAAGATACAAAGAGTAATTTTGTACACAATAGTATGTTATTCATGTGTGGGAAAACAGACTCTGACGGATTCCGTGGAACTGTACGTAGAAACGGTTTAAAACTCAATGGGGAGTTTTGTATGCCAAAACCGCCGGGAGCTTTCCAAGTACCGCGGATACTAGGCATATATATGTATATGTATATATATATATATGTGTGTGTGTGTGTGTATATATATAGTAAAGTTTTATTCGTCACTGGTGGTTTCTCGTCACAGTCTTGGCGGATTATAAGCGGTGGATGTTTGCTGACCTTTGCCAATGAACCGGAGGGACAGAGAAGCCCACAGTAACTTCTTGTAGTCTCGGCTGGAACTGACTGACTGACGTTAAATAAATCATTTAGGCCAAAGCCACAGTCAAACGAAAATAACCGAACTATACTATAAAGAGGAGAGAGTCTGTTTATAAGCATACTATACCCTCTTTTATCACAATAGAGTTTCTGAAAGAATGGAAGGTATTTAAGTCGGAAGAATAATGCCCAGCGTTTATATTACGTCTCCAGTTCTCCTATATACATACATATATATATATATATATATATATATATATATATATATATATATATATATATATATATATGTATATATATATATATCTGTGTGGTTTTTTTTCTTTCTCTTTTCCTTTTTTTATGAAGAATTGGAGGTGCCAGCAGAAGATTCTGATTGATGGGCTTTTTGTCTTCCTGTTCTGATATGTTATTAGTTATCACTTGAAATGTGTTTTACAAGAGCTCGATTTTTGGCATGTACTTATCTGCCCGTTTTTTTTTTGTTTGTTTATATATATATATATATATATATATATATATATATATATATATATATATATATATATATATATATATAAATGACACCAGGAAAAGAGAGATAAGAAAGGAGCATATTGGTAAAAAATAAATAAATAAATGATATCGTATAAAAGAAATAGAATAGTAGTGAAAAAGACTTACGCTTACACACACACATATATACATGTGTCTATATATATGTATATATAAATGTATATAAGTATATATATATATACATAATGTATATATATATGTATATACATATATATATAGATATATGCATGTATATATATATATATATATATATATATATATATATATATATATATATATATATATATATATATATATGTGTATCTACATATGTATATATATATGTGTCTGTGTGTGTGTGTATGAATATATATTATATATATATATATATATATATATATATATATATATATATATATATATATGAAATATATATATATATGTGTGTGTGTGTGTGTGTGTGTGTGTGTCTGTGTGCGTGTGTGTTTGAATGATATATATATATATATATATAACATATATGTATATATATATATATATATATATATATATATATATATATATGAAAGATATACAATAAAGATAAATAGATAGATAAATAGATACATAGATATCTGTATATAAAATATAGTGATTGATATATTAGTACTGAAAATCATAATAAAACTAAACTTGGTAAACTTAATGGTATTTTTTTCTGCTGAGGTCAAATATGGTTTCAGATTTTTTTTCTTGCTATCAGGCATATTTTCTCGTGATACCATACTTAAACTTTACAACAACTGTATTTCAGAAATTCACAAATCTGGCAATATGACAAAGAAACTCACCTTTAAAACGTCTCTCGGCTATATTCTGGAACGTCTTTCTTAAGTGTCAGTGTCAAGTGTCAACAGGAATCAGCCAAAAGGTTTCCATGTGCAAAATGTCCTGGCGAACCTCACGTCATGCTCGTCATTAACTCCCCCCCCCCTCCCTAAGAATTGTAGGTAAAAAGTCTAAGTAAGAGTCTAACAAGTGGATTTTTAGGCTGACATTGTCTCCCAAGGCCCTGTATGATGCCAGTAGATCTTTCACAGTGTCAGAATAGTTCTCCGAGATGTGATTTCCCTAAAGTTCTCGGCAAACTTCCTTTAAATAATAGCCTTGCACTTTTTTCAACATCGTTTGTTTTGGAGGGTCAGGTTAAGGCAAGTCTTGACTATTATACCATGTATCTTAGTCATATAGAAGTTGTAGTCTGAAGTGTGATCCTTGGCTCTCCAAATCAAAGGGTTGGCATGAAGCATATGGCGTGAACATTTTGCCCATGCTGAGAGGAGCTTGAAAAGTCACCTGGACACCAACTCTGCAGCCAAAATAATGCTCAGTGCATTTCTTACTCAGTGGAGTGATTTAAATGTTACTTCACCGCGGATAAAAATAATAGATGAATTAAAAAAAAAAAACGAAAAATACGATTTTGACTGTTTACAGTAACTTAGCTTTATGAATGGATTCTGTTACTGTAACTGGACAATATTCTAAGGTATCAGAGAAATAAATTCTACTACAAGCAAGTTTAAGCTAAAGGCACATGATCTGTTAACTAGGAGATGGATTGTTAGCGCGTCCACGCCTACACTTCAGGCCCAGCATTAACAGAGGTATTCAAGTCTCATTGTTTTTCAAGTTGCGCCAACAAGCTGCTGTCACTACGCTGTACTGACTCAATGCCACGGTGCGGTAACGGTGCGTCATGTTTATGCATCCCAGTTTTCACTTAGCTTGTGTTATGATCTCAAAATTTGAATTCAATTCATAAAGATTCAAATTGGGAGTCTTTCATAAACAGTTAGCTTCACATTTCAACATTTAACTGGAATGTAACCCATGAATGTAACTGAAAATGAGACGAGTACAGAATCGTGGACCAGAAAAAGTGTGGGTAATGCATTTTTTAAAATTCGCCATGCAAAAATAAATAAGAAACAGGTATTCTTTGTCTTAGGATTTATTTTTTTTTTGACGACCAGAGTAATTGACAATATGAATGTTATAGAAACACACACACACACGCACACACACACATTGCCACAGCCACGAGAAACAAGTATGACGCCATAGTGACATTAGACGCCCGTTTGGTTTGTGGGTCCGCATGTGGGAGAGAAGCCAGGGCACACATGTCTTTGCTGGCAGAGGGGCCGGCACAAGGTACAAATAAGCAGGTAGCTCCACTTTCAGTTAGCCTGTTTAACCCAAAATGAGACATGAGGCATTCTTTGTTATCATATATAAAAGAAGGGAATTTTAGTTTTACTTCTGGTAGTTATAACATTTATACTAAATCTATGTATTTATCTATATCTGATATTCCACGGTGCACTCTCATTGGCTAAACATGTTAACGTCATTAGCTCCACTCCCTTTTTGACCCTGTTAATCTGGGCGATATTTTATAGTAACTGTTTTTTTCAGCAATAACAGGGGTAAGATATTATGGAAAAAGACACCAATTAAAAATAGATATCTGAAACAAATAAAGACGAAGAGGCTTGGCTTAGCTTGCAAATTGCCAAAAAAGGATATTCATCAACATGGTTTGCGCCATTTCTCCCGTTCGGCCTCAAGGGTTTCCTCCCATTTTCAAAGGCCTACCAACTTTGCGAATTCCTTTTGCCATCCCGCTAGAGGTGCCTTGTTTTGGCAATGGTTTCCTCTCGTGCAGAAGTACAGTGGAGCCTGGTATTTAGCAATCGTATTCTCAGTACTTCGTACCTGACATTCCCGGATCCCGATTTTTGTACGCTTACCTTGCTATGCTCGGAGAATATAGCATTTCAAGCACGTTTCCCTTAACTTGTGGTGCATTTTTACATTTAAATAAACCGGAAATAACTCTGTATATGTGTGGCTGGATTAAAATGATACTAAATGACATGAACCTGCTGTTGGAAAATATGTGTCATATTACTAATCTACGATTACTGTTATAATTGTTATTATTATCATTATTAATTGCATTTTGTACACTGCATTAAAGTAGACCGTCAGTTTATGCATATCTATTTTCGTGCACCTACCCAAAGGGGGAGGGGGAGCTGAGAAAAAATGTAGAAGAGGAAGGGAAAAAGCCGAAGAAGGAGAAATGAAAGGGAAAAGGATGACGGAGAAGGGCAAACCGAGGGGACAAAGAGGAAAAGAGGAAAGGTAGAGGAGGTAGGGTGATAAGGGAGCGAAGGAGACGGGGAACTTTAAGAGGAAGAGGAGTGAAGTGGGAGAGAGCAGATGTAGGGCTTACACTGGGAAGGGGGGAGTGAAATCAAGGAAGATTTTGGAGTGAGGGATGACAGCGGGGAAGGGAGAGGGGATGCGAAAAGTAGGAGTAATGATAGTAATAATAGTAATGATGATGATAAAGATAATAATTGTAATGATAATAATGATTATGATAATGATAATAATTGTAATGATAATAATGATTATGATAATGATAATAATGATAATGATAATAATTGTAATAATAATAATGGTAATGATAATGATAATAACTGTAATAATAATAATGGTAATGATAATGATAATAACTGTAATAATAATAATAATGATAATGACAATGATAATAATTGTAATAATAATAATGAGAATAACAATAACAACAAGAATAATAATTGATTAGCTCATTCAAAAAGGTTAAGGAGGTTGTAAAATTTAAATACTATATTGTAGTAATCGTGTAATCGAATGACATTGACATCAAACAAATTCCACAGGGTCTCCAGTTGCCCAGTGACATCACTCAAAGCCCCGTATGACGTCATGGAAGGTGGGAGGAGCCAGTCCACCAGCCTTCTGGGTGAGTTTTTGAATAAGAGAGAGAGAGAGAGAGAGAAAGAGAGGGAGGGAGATATGAGGTAAGTGTGTGGAAAAGATATGTAGGCTATTAAAAGAGTTTTATTTTTATCTGAAACTTACAAGAATGATAATGAAAATGACTCTTGCAACATCATCAATACTAACAAATACCATTAAAGTCACTACCGTTGCAGCATTCCTATTAGCTTCATGATTTTAAGACCAATACCATTATTGGTAGTAGTGATGATAGCGATAACAAAAGGAATTATCTTTGTAATAAAAGTAATAATGATAATGTAAGTAATAATGATGATAATACTAATAATTGATGGTGATGACAAAATTTTTAATAAAGATGATAATAGTAATAATAATAAGGATAATGGTAATGAACATGACCATAATAATAACAATTAAGATAATGATAATAGCAAAGAAAAAAATAACGATGATAATAATGATAGTAATAATAACTATTCTGATAATAACAAAAGTAATTATTGTTGTTAGTATTATTATTACAATTATCATTGTTATCATTATTTTTATAATTACTTCTGTTATTATTACCATTACAGACAAACACTATTATTGTTTTATTATCACTATTATGATTATTATTATCGTTATTATTATTACTATTATTATTATTATTATTATTATCATTATTGTTGTTACTATTATCATTACTATTATTATTATTGTTGTTATTATCATTGATGTTGTTATTATGATTTTTTCTTTATATTGATAATAATGATAACAATAATAATGATGACAATGATAACAATAATGACGGTGATGGTGACCATAATAAGGGTAACAATTATAATGATGATAACTATAATAATGATAATAATGACGATAAGTATGTGATATCATAGTAGTAATGACAATAATATCATTAATGATAATAAACAATAAAAACGCCAATAATATCAATTAAAGTGGTAATACTGATAATATAATAATGATGATAATTATAATAATAGTAATAATAATAATGACGATAATAATAATAGTAATAATAGTAATAATAATGATAATAATAATAATGATAATAATAACAATAATGATAATAATGATATAATTGATATCAATGATAACAGTAATAATAATGATAATAATAATAATTTAAATGGAAATACTGATAATAATCATGAAAGTAATAATAATTATGCTAAAAAAATTATAATAATGATAATGATGATACTGATAATGATAGTAATAATAATAATAATAATAATAATAATAATAATAGTAATAATAATAACAATAGCAATAATAGCAATAATAATAATGAAAATAATAATAATAATGATAATAATAATGGCAGCAATAGTACTCGTAATGATAAGGATAAAAGTAATCATTAAATCCTAATAATGAATAACATTGTTAATGATATTCATAATGATAATAAGAATAAAAATTATTTTGTTATTGTCATCATCACCAAAAGAATAATAGTAATAATAACAATAATCATAAAATACTAATGATAATGATAATATTAATAATAATAGATAAAATCATGGCAATAATAATGATGATGATGATAATGATGATAATGATGATGATGATAATGATAATAATAATAATAATGATAATGATAATAATATTAATAAAAACAATAATGAAAATAATAGTAATAATAATAACTATAACAATGAAAATAATTATCATAATAATAATGATGATGATGATAATGATAATAATAATAATAATAATAGTTATTATTACTATACTAGTGATCATAATAATAATGATAACAGATAAATGATAATAATAGCAACAATAACAGCAATTATAGAAATAATAACAATAACAGTAATAATAACAATAATAACAGCAATAAACAGAAATATAAATTACAACAATGATAATGATAGTAGAAATGATAATGATAATAATAATAGTAGAATTAATAATGATAATGATAATAGTAACAACAGTAATAGTAGCAATAATGATAACAATAATAATAATAATAATGATGATGATGATGATGATGATGATGATGATAAAAATATAAACATTAATAATGATAATAATAATAATAATAATAATGATAATAATAATGGTAATAATAACAATAATAATAACAATAATGATAATAATAACAATAATGATAATAATCACAATAATGGTAATAATAACAATAATGATAATAATAACAATTATAAAAGCAATTATTATTATAACATTAACAATAATAATAATGATGATACTACTACTACTACTACTAATAATAATAATAATAATAATAATAATAACAATTATAATGATAATAATAATAACAATACTCATAATAATGGTAATGATAAGAACAATAATAATAATAATAATAATAATAATAATAATAATAATAGTAAGGACAATAGTAATAATGATAATTATTATTATTATTACTATTGCTATTATTATTATTATTATTATTATTATTATTATTATTATTATCATTATTATTATTATTATTATTATTATTATTATTATTAGAGGAAGATATAATCGAAACCGGTCAAATGTATTGTGAAGTTATTCATTCTCATTCATACCTTTTCTACATTTCTCAACATGAATACGGTTCAATAATAACAATAATTCTTATGATAGCGATAATAGCAATAATAATGATGATAATAGTATTAATAATAATGTTAACAATTGTAATAATAATAATGATAATTGTAATGGTAATAATAATAATAATAATAATAATAATGATAATAATGATAATAATAATAATAATAATAATAATAATAATAATAGTAATGATAATAATAAAATAATAATAATAATAATAATAATAATAATAACAATAATAATAATAATAATAATAATAAAGAAATAATTATTATAATAATCTTTATCGGTCATTTTTATCATTATTATATTCATTATCATTATTATCATTACCACCGTTATTACTATTGTTATTATCATTATTATTAATATTAATATTGTTATCATTATTATTATTGTTTTATTAGTATTATTACTATTACTATTATTATCATTATTATTATTATTACTGTTCTTTTTATTATTACTATTATCCTTATTATCATTATTATCCTTATTATTATTGATATCATTATTATCATTATTATCATTATTATTGTTATCATTATTATCATTATTATTACTATTATTATGATAATAGATTTACCATTAACCTGTGCTCACCCTTTTCTCTCACCCTCAGCCGTGGTCGTTGTGGCTTCAATAATCAGTCTGAAGTAAGTATTTCTCTAATGTTTAGATTTTTTTATTTATCTAATTTATCTTTTTATTATTATTATGATTTTATTTTACGTTTTTTTAGTTGTGTTTTACTTCTTCACACTAAGTATTAAAATGATCATTGTCATCTAATTTTTTTTTTCCGTATCCATTATCTTTATAATTATGATAATCAGTATCCTTCTATTGTACTATTTGAGAATTTAAGTAAACAGAAGATGCCGATTAAAAAGCGAAATAAGATGAAAAGAAAATGAATAAATAAGAAATATGTTTTTTTCTATCTTACTAATTATAGTAACAATTGCAATGATCATTATAATAACAATTATGATGGTAATAAAATTAGTTTAGGATTATCTTGCTAATAAAAAAACTAGAAATTCATAGCAATAGTAGTAATCGACGCAGCAATAAAATTTGTTATATAAAACAAAAGCAATTAACTATAACGATAATAGTAAAGGTAGTGATATTATTACTATGTTGCTTTTATCAAGATACTGCAATTAAGTTATGATGATGATGATGATTGATGATGATGATTATAATGATGATGAAGAAGATAATGATATGATGATAGCATTGACAATAATAATGATAATGATGAAAATAATATCAGTATCATTGATAATATATTGTTGATAACAATGATAAAGGCAAAGATGATGATAAATAGAAAAAGCATTGTTATTATCAGCAACATTTCTATGATTTTCTTATCAACGAAATCGTTATTTATCATCATTAACGATATTACTATAGCTATCATCAACGGTCGTGGCAGGAATAGCATTGTCATTCCTACCACCATTATCTTTATCATTTCGAATAATTAACCTATTTCGAATAAGCCTATAACTTATACGTACTATCGAAACAATACAAAACAAATAATGATAATAATAATAATAATAATAATAATAATAATAATGATAATAATAATGATAATAATAATAATAATAATAATAACAATAATAATGATAATAATAATAATAATAATAGTAATAATAATGATATTAATAATGATAAGCGATCAGCGAGGCCATGGTTATCAAAATGCACGATTGCACCTGTTGCGTTCTCTTTTGCTAGATTGCACTGTGTGGGTTAATTCTGCGAAGATATTCATCGTGTTTCACTGTTATTTCTTCCCGTGCTGTCTCGCTCAAGGTATTTTTACACAGGTAGACCCACTCCATCTTGATGTAAATCCTAGTTGGCAACTTCCGAGCTAAACCCCGCCTTATCACCTTTATTCAGTATTTTTTTTTTATTAATTTTTTTCTTTGTTTTTTGTTTGCCTTTTCGATACTTTTCACCAGTGTTATTGCACAAATTGTTAAAAAGGGGGCGGATACATAATTATTTGTATAATTTACTTAATATTGTTATTATAATTACCAGAAGTAAAACCAAAATTCCCCTCTTTTATTTCACGGAGATCCTTACAGCTGTCAAAATACTCATTTTTAAGTTTAAAGTCTAAATGGAAGTGGATCTACCTGGTTATATGTACCTTGGTCTCGACTTTGTACAGTGAATGAGTAGTTTTTTTATCGTTAAGTTTAGTGTTTGATAAACAACGCACAGGGAATTTATTTACATTCATGACAGTGGCAAGTGTAACAAAACCATGAAGGACCAAACAAAACAAAGTGAAATCAAAGTATCCCACAGAAAAACAAGAGTAATGATAAAAAAAAAATAATAACAACAACAAAAGCAACATCAATGATAATAATGATACTATCATTAATAGTAGCAGTAGTAGTACTACTACTACTGATAATAATAATAGC